GTCAGCGGAGGGCCGGAGGAACTCCCTGGCGGCACGCTGGCAAGATCGCCTTTTCCTTCCAGAGGAACGGTAGTTAGGAACTTACACATATGCACATCAACCGAATGTGCCATCGTAAATGTGCTCATGGAATGCCGGGTCCTGGGTTGGGAAAACTATTTTTAGATTCCCTTGAAGGGGCCTGATTGGATAAATGGTCTTCCTACATGTCTAAAAATACGTAATATTGGTCTATCATGCTCCACATGATATACATAATTGCCTTAATTTTGAAGTATTTGAGAACTATTCAAATAGCAATAGTGGTAACCATCTAATCTATGTAAGCATAACAATTCTCGCAAACAAGAAACGACATGCCGGAAAATGCATAACAATGAGAAGGACTAAAGCTAGATATGGTGTAAAAAAATACTTGCATGTGGAACGTCAAGACAGTAGTTGAAAAAAGAAACAAAAATAGAAAGAAAAACATAGTAGAGACCAACCACTCAAACCGATGACCTATTAATATGCAGTCTGTTCTCAAAATAAATAAATTAACATGCAGTCAATTGCTCTACCACTGAGCTATGAAGCCATTAATATTATTCCATTTGACCCCGATAAATATATAATTACACAAGCAATATGATAGACTTGTGCCCGTATCCTTGCGTTTAAATATCAATTGGTTCACTCTATTATAAATGCAAATTGAATATCAGTTTGCATCCTTACATATTCAGATACAGATTAGAACACTAGTTATGAACTTACACATACTTATATCAGTCGTATGTGCCATCATAAATTAGGTGCACGTACCGCAGGGTGTGCTCAGGGATTGCGGGTTCTAGGTTTTATGTAACATGATATTTTGGGTTATGCAAACTATTCTTAGATTCTCTTGAAGGGGCCTAAATGGTACTCCCTCCGTTCCAAAATAGATGATCATCTATTTTGGAACGGAGGGAGTATAACTGTTCTTCGTACATGTCTAAAAATACATATATTAGTCTATCATGCTCCACAGAATATAATACATAATCACCTTAATTTTGAAGTAATTGAGAACTATTCAAATAGCGGTAACCATCTAATGTATGTAAGCATAACAATTATCTCAAAGAAGAATAGACATGGCAAAAAATGCATAACGAATGAGAAGGAATATAGCTAGATATGGTAAAAGAAAAAGAGTAAATACTTGAGAAGAAAGTGTGGAGGGCCAAGACAACAGGGCCCAATCAGGTTTGAACAGGTGACCTATTGATCTACAGTCAATTGCTCTACCACTGAGCTATGGACCCATTTATGTTATTGTAAATGACCCTAATTAATATATAGTTACACAAGATATAAGATAGAGGTGCAATCTTTGTGTTTAAATATTATTTGGTTCACTCTGTATTATGAATGAAAATTGAACATCAGTTTGTATCCTTGCAGATTTAGATATGGATTAGAGCGCTAATTAGGAACTTACACATACTCATATCAGTTGTATGCGCCATAATAAATTAGATACAGACCCTTGGCCTTAACTTACGTGCTAAGGCGCAAGTAAATTTCCATGGACATTTTCCTATGTTGGCCTACAACAGTTTTTCCTAGTCAGTATGTCTACAAAATAAATTTTTGAAACGCAGCCTTATCTAGAAAGAGAAGTCAGGAATGTCCCGTAACATTACAACAAAATCATTCTGAGGTTTTGATACGCTAATATGTACTTCAAGCTGTGCTCACGGATTGCCAATTCCAGCTTTTAAGTAACATGCTATTTTGGGGTTATGCAAACCATTCTTAGATTCTTTTAAAAGGGCCTAATTGGAGAAATGTTCTTCCTACGTGTCTAAAAATACGTATATCAGTCTATCATGGTCCACAGAATATAATACATATCTGCCATAATTTTGAAGTAATTGAGAACTATTCAAACAGCGGTAACCAACTAATGTAAGCATAACAATCCCATGAAAGAAGAATCGACATGCCAAAAAATACATAAGGCATGAAAAGGAATAAAGCTAGATATGTTGAAAAAGAAGAGTAAATACTTGCGAAGAAAGTGTGACAGTAGTTGAAAAAGAAGATAAAAATAGAAAGAAAAATACATATATTAGTCTATCATGCTCCACAGAATATAATACATAATCACCTTAATTTTGAAGTAATTGAGAACTATTCAAATAGCGGTAACCATCTAATGTATGTAAGCATAACAATTATCTCAAAGAAGAATAGACATGGCAAAAAATGCATAACGAATGAGAAGGAATATAGCTAGATATGGTAAAAGAAAAAGAGTAAATACTTGAGAAGAAAGTGTGGAGGGCCAAGACAACAGGGCCCAATCAGGTTTGAACAGGTGACCTATTGATCTACAGTCAATTGCTCTACCACTGAGCTATGGGCCCATTTATGTTATTGTAAATGACCCTAATTAATATATAGTTACACAAGATATAAGATAGAGGTGCAATCTTTGTGTTTAAATATTATTTGGTTCACTCTGTATTATGAATGAAAATTGAACATCAGTTTGTATCCTTGCAGATTTAGATATGGATTAGAGCGCTAATTAGGAACTTACACATACTCATATCAGTTGTATGCGCCATAATAAATTAGATACAGACCCTTGGCCTTAACTTACGTGCTAAGGCGCAAGTAAATTTCCATGGACATTTTCCTATGTTGGCCTACAACAGTTTTTCCTAGTCAGTATGTCTACAAAATAAATTTTTGAAACGCAGCCTTATCTAGAAAGAGAAGTCAGGAATGTCCCGTAACATTACAACAAAATCATTCTGAGGTTTTGATACGCTAATATGTACTTCAAGCTGTGCTCACGGATTGCCAATTCCAGCTTTTAAGTAACATGCTATTTTGGGGTTATGCAAACCATTCTTAGATTCTTTTAAAAGGGCCTAATTGGAGAAATGTTCTTCCTACGTGTCTAAAAATACGTATATCAGTCTATCATGGTCCACAGAATATAATACATATCTGCCATAATTTTGAAGTAATTGAGAACTATTCAAACAGCGGTAACCAACTAATGTAAGCATAACAATCCCATGAAAGAAGAATCGACATGCCAAAAAATACATAAGGCATGAAAAGGAATAAAGCTAGATATGTTGAAAAAGAAGAGTAAATACTTGCGAAGAAAGTGTGACAGTAGTTGAAAAAGAAGATAAAAATAGAAAGAAAAATACAAAAGGGCCCAACCGGGTTCGAACCGGTGACCTATTGATCTGCAGTCAATTGCTCTACCACTGAGCTATGGACCCATTGTTGCGTTTACATTTGACCTTAATTAATGTAAACCCATTTGTGAGCTGCGATTATCAATATTTGGTGTTAGTGCTCTCTTATCATATTTGACTTTCTCTGTTGCATATTATCACTGATATGTCTTTTTTTGAAATCTTATCACTGATATTTCTTAACGTATTCTGTTGCAATGTATTTGGAAAAATGTTATAGAATTTATATGTATAGCTGACATGATTTTTATTCCGAGTCTTTTCTTCTGGATTAATAATAAAACAATCATCTGATATGACTGCATCTCCCGTTTTCTATGCTTGCATGTTTATTGGCGCGGGATACCAAAAAGGGTGTGCTATATATAGCTCACAAAAATGGCGAGAATACGTGAAAACAAGGATTGTTCCGAGACCCCAAAACGGTGTACTATAACCGACGAAAACGGTCATAAACACAAAAATGGGGAGTTTTCAGGATATCCTAGTAACTCTGTACCCGGATCCACCTGACATGCCTAACACTGCAGTAACCATTTACTAGGCTCTGCCGGACCTTGAATGGTCTTGAGATCTCAAAACGGTGTGCATACATTAGTACCATGCTGATCAGACTAGAAAAGAAAAGCTTAAATTCTTGTCATTTGGTCATGCTGCAAAGTAGAGGCAAATGAGCATCTTGGTACCCAGCAAAGTATTTTTCAACTTTCTCCATACTTGCAGCAGATGTGGCTTGCATTATTCCACGTATTAGGTCCGAAAATAAAAGCAAGTTAACATCAGCTGATCAGTCAATTCCTATGAGTGTTAGGTCCGAAAATATCAATACGAAGCACATCAGCTTAGCTGTACAATAGACAACGGAGACCCCACCTTGAATGAGAGTTATAAGCCTGGTACATTGTCTTCATTCATCTGTCCTAGATGTGTCATTCTCCTTGAGGACTTTTCATCGAGCTTGGTGACCGTCAAAAGTCGAACTTGATCAACTTGCATTAAAAAGCTTTTGACATGGTTGATAGTGTGACACTGAAGCACCCTGTATGTGTCCACCTAGAAATGAACGGTCCTCTTATAAGTAGTAGTACTTGTGCCGCCGTGAGCTCAAACCATCTCTGCAACCATGGCTCCTGCTCTTGCCCTTCTGCTTGCCACCACTTCCCTCTTCTGCTTATCCTCTCTGCTTTTAGTACCAAGAGCTGTAGTAGCACATGATATTCTACCATTACGATCCTCTCTAACCGTCGAAGCCTTCCAAACCGACATACTGCAGTCGCCAGATGGCACCTTCTCCTGCGGCTTCTACAACATCTACACCAACGCCTTCACATTTTCGATATGGTACTCCAAGGCGGCAGACAAAACCGTCGTGTGGAGTGCAAATCGCGACCGCCCTGTCCATGCCAAAAGGGCAGCCTTCACCTTGCAGAAGGATGGCAACATGGTCCTCAAAGATTATGATGGCGCGCTTGTGTGGCAAGCTGGTGGCAACTTCACAAATGTTCAGCATGCTCAGCTGTTGAATACTGGCAATTTCATCTTGAAGAATACCGATGGTAAGATACTGTGGCAAAGTTTTGATTCGCCCACAGACACTTTCCTGCCAACTCAGCCCATCACCGTTTCTACAAAGTTAGTGTGTACAACCCAATCACGTGCTCCTGGTAACTACATCTTCCGTTTCAGTGATGTTTCAATATTGTCACTTATATATGAGATTCCTCAAGTTTCGGATATATACTGGCCAGACCCTGATCATTCTCTCTTTCAGAATAATAGAAACCAATATAACAATACTAGGTTGGGGATTTTGGAGATTGACGGGAGTTTTGGGTCGAGTGATTTTGCCGATGGTCGGCTACTTGTGGCCTCTGATGCAGGGCCAGGGATTAAGAGAAGGCTAACTCTAGATCCCGATGGTAATCTCCGGTTGTACAGCTTGAATGACTCAGATGGGTCATGGTCAGTTTCAATGGTAGCAATGTCCCAACCTTGCAACATCCATGGCATATGTGGTCCTAATGGAATATGTCACTACTCACCTAAACCTACATGTTCATGTGCACCAGGCTATGTGATGAGCAACCCGGGTAATTGGACTGAAGGCTGCAGGGCTATTGTCAACATAACATGTGATCATCAGGAACCTATGAAGTTTGTGAAACTCAAGAACACAGATTTTTGGGGCTCTGATCAGAAACATATGTTCTCAGTTTCTTTTCATGCTTGTAGGGATATCTGCATGGGCGACTGCACCTGCAAAGGCTTTCAGTACAAGGAAGGTGACGGGTTATGCTATACGAAAGCTAGCCTTTTCAGTGGATGGACCTACCCAATAAACGATCCGCGAACAATATATCTCAAGCTTCCTGCAAGGGTGAATGTTTCAGATACAGCTTTTCCTCGCTCTGACGTGTTTGATTCTGCACCACCTCATCTTGACTGTAGCCAGATGAACATACCACCAATTCTACAAGTGCATAACAGTAACACTGGTGCAGAAGAACCAAAATGGATCTACTTCTATGGTTTCATAGCTGCATTTTTTGTTGTTGAAGTTTCCTTTATAGCATTCGCATGGTTCTTTGTTTTGAGAAGAGAGCTTAGGCCATCAGAAGTATGGGCGGCCGAGGAAGAATACAAGGTGATGACTAGTCATTTTAGAAGATACAGCTATAGAGAACTTGTGAAGGCGACAATGGATTTCAAGGTTGAGCTAGGAAGGGGAAGCTCCGGCGTGGTGTACAAAGGTGTCTTAGAAGATGAAAGGCCAGTTGCTCTGAAGATGCTGGAGCATATAAGTCGGGGCAAAGAAGAGTTCCAAGCTGAATTGAGTGTGATTGCTAGGATTTACCACATGAATCTGGTGAGAATATGGGGGTTTTGTTCGGAAGGATCCCACCGGCTGTTGGTTTGCGAATATGTCGAGAATGGCTCACTGGCTAGCATTTTGTTCAGTGACAACATCTTGCTGGACTGGAAGCAACGGTTCAACATCGCATTAGGTGTTGCGAAAAGGTTGGCCTATCTTCACCATGAGTGCCTAGAATGGGTCATCCACTGCGATGTGAAACCCGAGAATATACTCTTGGACCAAAACTTCGAGCCTAAGATCACCGACTTTGGTTTGGCAAAGTTACTAAACCGAGGTGGGTCCAACCAGAACACATCTCATGTGCGAGGAACAACGGGCTACATTGCTCCCGAGTGGATCTCCGGCCGCCCTATCACGTCGAAAGTCGATGTGTATAGCTATGGGATCGTGCTTCTTGAGCTTCTATCTGGAAGCAGAGTATCGGAGTTGACCGTCGGTTCAGATGCAGAGGTGCACACGGTGCTCAGGAAGCTTGTCACCATGCTTGCAGATAAACTGGAAGGAGGTGATGATTCTTGGATTGATGAATTTGTGGATTGCAAATTGGGTGGGCAATTCAGCTATGTGCAGGCTAGAACGATGATCAAATTGGTCGTTTCTTGTTTGGAGGAAGATACAAGAAAGAGGTCGACCATGGAATCTGTTGTTCAGACTCTCCTATCATTAGATGAAGATGATAAGTAGTATTAATTTGATTTTCTTGGTATATGTTTTAAATAAGGCAACAATATATGATTGTAAGGTCAAGGATGTATATGTGCAACAATGTGGAAAAACTATGATATTTCTTCTAATCGTAGTCATTGATTAAAAAAAAGTACTCCCTTTAGTGATCTAAACGCTCTTATAAAAGTTTACAGAGGGAGTAATAGATTGATTCTAATGCATAAGTGTGGGATAGGTTTAGTAAGCAACATAAAGCGAAAGACGGGGTAGTTGTACATGCGAGGCCATTGCCGTTAGTGTGTTGTATCTTGATTTCTAGCCTTAAGAGCAAAAGGTTAGGCCATGAGTTACATTTTGAAGATGTCAAGATCGCGTCCAGCTTTGTTCGCCTTTAATAGCGCTTATGTGTATCCTAATTAGATTATTTTTAATTGATTTTCTTATGGAGGGTTTGCAAAAAAGATTATATCAAAGATAATGTAGACTTTACGGTTCAATTGAAGAATTTTATTTTGTTTCTCTAAAGTTTATGCAAAGTACTCCCTCCGTTTCAAAATAGATGATCCAATTTTGTACAACCCGTTCTAAAATAGATGACCCAACTTTGTACAAGTTGGGTCATCTATTGAACCGTAAATAGATGACCCAACTTTGTACAACCCGTTTCAAAATAGATGACCCAACTTTATACTAACTTTGTATAAAGTTGGGTCATCTTTTTTTGAAACGGAGGGAGTATATATATTTGGTCCTTCAAAAAAATGTTGTGCTACATTTCTCTCATGTTTTCAAACTGGACATGGGCCGTCCAAAACGAGACATGGGGATGACGTGTCCCCGGTTTTGAATCTCACTTTGCCTTGCCAAATGGCGGTCAAAGTCAGCTCCAGTGCCACGTCATATCTTCTTCTTCTCTCCGTGGCAGGCATTTTGTCGAGCACCTTGTGCGCCGCGGCGACCCTGCACATTTCCCTCGCCGCCGCCGGGGACACAGAGCGACGGGCTGATGCAGTCCGGCCCGGGTGGAAGGCGTGGCAGCAAGCCGGGAGGACCCGCGCTCGTCCTTGTTCACGAACCCGGAGCTCCTGCACTGATGAAAGAGAGACTGAAAATGTGCGGTGTGCTTACATGCATGATGGAAGCACATCGACATGGCTCAGCCCGGTTTGCTCCTTGTACATTCAGATCACAGGCACTGCTGGCCAAGACACCATTCAAGTTGAGTAAACAATAAAATACCACATTTGGGGCTAGCGTTATACAAAATTACCACTTACTTTAGTTTCTCAAAAAGACACTACTATTTTGGTTGACTGTTTGAAAGAAAAAACACTAGTGACTGAAGCGTTAACATTTAACTGCGACTATGATAATGTTGGCCCCCGTCAGACATGACATGGCATAAATGTCAGCACCGTCAGCTTTGACCGTTATGACAGGTGAAGCACACATGTCGGTCCCTTTCAAAAAACAAGCAACTGGATCCCTGTAACTTTTTAAACAAAGCAATCAGGTCCATCTAACATTTTCGGAAAAAACAATAGAGTCCCTGTAACTTTTTTTAAAAAGTAATCGGGTCTTTGTGCTGGCACTGGTCGTGGCTGCACCGGCCGACCGTGGTGGTGGCCGGTCGTGGCTGTTGCGGCCTTGGCTATGTTGTTGTGGTGCTGCTGCCCTCTATCGCAGTTGTTGTTGCTTGTTGCTAAGCACAAGATCCAGCTCAAAGGGAGGCTGACGGTGGCGGCGACAACAGGGCCCAGAGTTTGCAACGCCTCGTCTTCATGTGCGGCCGCGCGAGCTTCTCCTCCTCCGCCCTCCAGCATGGAAGGCCACCAGAGCAGTAGGAAGGTCACCGGTGCATGAGAGGGTGGTTGGGCACCGGCTGGGAGCAAGAGGGAGCGGTTGGGCGCTGTCTGGAAGCAGCATGAGGCGGCGGCGGGGGTGTGCGCAGGCTGCTCGCGTGGTAGCAGTGCTCAGGCGACCAACTGTCCGGCCACTATAGTGAGCGTGGTGGACTAGTGCAGAGAAAAGGGATCCTCGACGGGGTACAGAGAAAAGGGAGACATAGGAGAAGAAGGTGACATGTGGGCCCTACCTGGTCATAACGGTCAGCTTAACTGTTTACATAACGCTGTTGACTTTTTGCCACGTGAAGTTGACGAGCGGGCCCTCCATGTAAAAAACCGGACTAAGACATAACCATTCACTCATTAATGTTTTTGGAACAACCAACAAAAATAGTGATAGTAAGAGCTTTTTGAGAAATTAAAGAAAGTACTCCTAGTTTTCGTAACACTAGCTCCAAATGGGGTAGGTTTTTGCTATTTACTCCATTCAAGTTCGACCAAGGAACTCAAGTAAGAGCAGGGGAAATGATATTCTACGCACGGTAAGTACTTATCTCTTTCCTTCAAATTATTCGAAGTTCTATTTTTCAAAAGCAAAATTGCTAAATGGAGGACGAGCTCCATGGAGCTCTTTTTTGATTTTTTTCCATAATTAGCATTTTGAAGTTATAAAAAGTTCTAAAAAATCACACACGTTTATATGGATGTTGTTAGGAAATATGCAACTTGTATTACCAGGAGGCCATAGGCCAGTATATATACATGTACATGTGTGGACTATATGCAGGAAACCCTTTATACAATAGGGTAAATACGAAAGGTTACATGGCTATATATATAATACTCTAACACCCCCCCTAAAACTCATGGTGGATTAACAACACTGACTTTGAAGAGATAGAAGCCATGCCGCGCTCTAGTCTGGGCCTTCGTCAGGAAATCCGCTAACTGTAACTCGGAAGGAACATTCTGAAGAGCAATAACCTGATCCTGCACACCAGCGCGCACATAGAAAGCATCAACACCAATATGCTTGGTGAGCTCATGCTTCACAGGATCGCGTGCAATGCTAATAGCGTCTGTACTGTCAGATAAAAGCAGGATAGGTGTAGTAACAGAAACACCAAAATCCTGAAGTAACCACCGTAACCAAGTCACCTCTGCCGTCAAAAGAGCCATAGCTCGTAACTCAGCATCTGCACTCGAATGGAAAACTGCAGTCTGTTTCTTCGTCTTCCAGCCAATGAGAGAACCACCAAGAAAAACACAGTAAGCAAAAAGTGAACGTCGATCAGAGGTATCACTAGCCCACGTAGCATCCGAATAGGCCTGAAGTTGTAAAGAACTAGATAGAGGAAAGAATAGACAGTGAGAGACCGTGCCCCGAAGATATCGGAGAACACGAAGGAGGTGACTATAGTGAACCGAAGTGGGAGTAGAGACAAACTAACTCAGAATATGAACCGGATAAGAGATATCCGGACGAGTAACAACTAGATATACAAGACTCCCAACAAGATGACGATAATGCGTCGGGTCAGGCAAGGGGTCACCATCGGTATCACGGAGGTGAACATTGAGCTCCGTGGGAGTCTCAACAATGTGCTCATCAGTAAGAGCAGCATGAGCAAGAAGATCCTGTATATACTTTTCCTGGGATATAAAAAAGTCATTAGAGGTAGAAGAGACTTCAATCCCAAGAAAGTAGCGAAGAGGTCCAAGATCGGACATAAGAAACTGCTCACTAAGACGGGCCTTTACAAAGGCAATATACTCAGGGTCGTCGCCAGTGATGATCATGTCATCAACATAGAGAAGAAGAAGAGTCCGACCACGAGGAGAAAGATGGACAAACAATGATGGATCATGAGCACTCCCTAAAAACCAGCGACAGTCACCACAGAGGCAAAACGCTCAAACCAAGCGTGAAGGGCTTGCTTAAGGCCATAGAGAGAGCGACAAAGACAACATATCATGCCATCAGGAACAGAATACCGAGGTGGTGGCTGCATATATACCTCCTCACGCATCTACCATTAAGAAAGGCATTCTTAACATCAAGCTGAGATACAGATCAGTGGTGTGCAGAGGCCACGGCAAGAAGTGTACAAATAGTGGTCATATGGGCCACAGGAGCAAAAGTCTTCTCGTAATCACGACCATGCTCCTGCTGAAAGCCACGAACCACAAGACGAGCTTTGTAATGCTCAAGGGAACCATCGGAGCGAGTATTAACCTTGTAGACCCACTTACAAGTGATGGGATGGACACCTGGAGGAAGAGAAACAAGATCCCATGTACCAGTGCATTCAAGAGCAGCAATCTCAATCGCAAACTGCCATTCAGGATGAAAACAGCCTCACGATAAGAAGCCGTCTCAAGAACAGCAGCACCAACGGTTGGAAAACCAAGGCGATCAACAGGCACGGACGAGGACGCAAGCCATAGGTAGGCTGAGACGAGGAGGACGACACATCAGCAGACGCATCCACAGTACGTGAACGACGAGTGTAATACTGAGGAAAAGATGGAAGAATACGAGGAGAAATAGCTAAGGTAGAATCAGGAGGTGGAGATGAAGAAATCACCGGGGAGGAAGGTGCAGAATCTGGTGACATGCGAGGTGAGGAAACCGTGGGAGATGGTGGCGGCAAATCGGCAAGCGGTGGAGAAGTAGAGTGAGCAGGACGGAGAGACAAGGGCTCAACCAGAGTGATAGGTGTGTCGGGAAAAGTGAGGAAAGAGATATCCTCCACTGAAAAGGTCAAGGAAGATGGACGCGGGTAGAAGGGACGAGACTCATCAAAAGTCACATCCCGAGAAATACGCATCCGACGACCGATAGGATCCCAACAATGATAGCCCTTATGCTCATCACTATAGCCTAAGAAAACACACTCAACAGACTGAGCGGTCAATTTGATGTGTTCGCGAGGGGCAAGAAGAACATAGCAAACACAACCAAATAAGCGAAGCATCGAATAATCAGGAGAACAATCAAAGAAACACTCGAAAGGAACAACATCCTGGAGAGCAGCGGATGGCTGAAGGTTAATGAGATAGGTGGAGGTGAAGATAGCTTCGGCCCAAAAATGAGGTGGAAGAGAAGCGGCGATCATCAACGCACGAGCCGTCTCAAGAAGGTGGCGATGCTTTCTCTCAGCCATGCCA